AGTGTCTACCCCACTATAGCCTAGACAAGCTATATGATAAATGTTTGACACGCTTCCCCACACGTGAAGAACTGCCGGAGATGGCGAGACAATTCGCCGCAGTCAAAGGTGTACCTGCAGTGGTGGGGGCTGTAGACGGGACACACATCCACATGAAAGGGATGGAAGGGCACCGGTCCGAGTACTGGACAAGAAAGTCGGCCTACGCCGTACAGCTCCAAATCACGTGTGATGCTCGAGGGAGAATATGGGATTACCTTATCGGTTATCCCGGCAGCGCGCACTACATGCGTGTTTTCAAGGACTCTGCATTACTGGAAAGGTTACACAACGGGGACATAAACCAGATTGTTGGGGATGCGGCATACCCGCTCAGAGAATACTGCCTAACCCCACTGCATGCACCGCGCGGAGAGGATCTAATGGACGTCTGGGCCCAAACTTTCAACTACTGCCAGAGCGCTACGCGCATGGCGGTGGAGAGGTGCATTGGCGCATTCAAAGGGAGATGGCGCATCTTCAGCGGGCGCAACGACTGCAGGTTATGGCGCATCCTTGCCGGGGTCGCGTGTTGTGTGATCCTGCACAACATGTGCGAAGACATGGCAGAGGTTAGGCGCACGAACTTGGCCTGGTACAATCTGCCCCGCAACCGCGACCCATGGTGGACACGGGGTGCAATCGCGGAGCACAAGTGGGAACCTTGTGTTCCCGCTGTCAAACATTATACATGTTCATATTGTGTAGGCTATAGTGGGTTTAGCCTTAGGGGGTACAACATTGCTAGGGTTTCCTACTTGTATCACCCTGCTGCCTAGTTTCACACATTCTCGTTCAGTTCTACATTCTAACATGGTATCACGAGCCTAGGTTGCTACCTAGGACCGCTTTCTCCTACGGGCCCACTATTCCGCTAGACGCGCCCTCGTGCGTCCTACCTTACGTGCGCCCTCGTGCGCCTTTCTATACTCATGCGCCCTCGTGCGCCCTCGCGGGAGGAGAGCTTTTGTTCGTGATACGTTCGCGGACAAGCTCTCCTCCCGCGCTGTTCCCTGTGTCTTCCTTGGCTTTGTCCCGGACGCGTCTGGTTGGCAGTTTTACCACGCCACCTCGCGCCGTGTCCTGCCCTCTCAGGACGTCACTTTTGACGAGTCCGTGCCCTACTACCGCCTCTTCCCCTACCGCATTGCCCCGCTCCCCCCCCCGCCTCTCTTCCTCGCGCCAGGTGCTGCTGTGGTAGACCCCCTCCCCCCTCAGGGTGCCGCTCCCTCAGGTGTGTCCCAGGTAGACCCGGTTGAGCCTGTCGAGGTAGCTGTCGACTCTCGTCCTGCCAGGGGTGCTGAGCCTGAGCGTGCGGAGCCTGGGGTTGCGGAGTCTGGGGGTGCTGAGCCTGGGGGTGCGGGGTCTGGGGGTGCGGAGCCTGCGGGTGCTGAGTCTGGGGGTGCTGAGCCTGGGGGTGCGGAGCCTGCGGGTGCTGAGTCTGGAGGTGCTGAGCTTGGGGGTGCTGAGCCTGGGAGTGCTACGTCTGAGAGTACTGAGCCTGAGCGTGCTGCACCTGGGGGAGGCCTCTCCTCGCAGCAGCTGCGTGAGTGGTACTTACAGTACTGCAGCCTCAGGAGAGGTGCTTCTGGAGCTCGGAGTGGTGCCGGAGCTGGTGCTAGTGCTTCCCCTCCTAGGCGGGAGCTGCCCTCTCCCCAGCAGCTCCGAGAGTGGTACGCTAGGCGCTACAGTCTCCGGAGTGGCGCTCCCGGTGTCGTGGACTCTGGAGCTTCTGGAGTTACTGGAGGTGCTGCTGCTGCTGGCGGTGCGGCTGGCGCTGCTAGAGGTGCTACTGGTGCTGCTGGAGCTGCTGGAGGTACTGCTGCTGCTGGAGGTGCTGCTGGCGCTGCTGGAGGTACTACTGGTTCTGGTGCTGCTGGAGCTGCTGGAGGTGCTGCTGCTGCTGGCGGTGCGGCTGGCGCTGCTGGAGGTGCTGCTGGTGCTGCTGGCGCTGCTGGAGGTGCTACTGGTGCTGGAGCTACTGGAGCTGCTGGTGGTACTGCTGCTGCTGGCGGTGCTGCTGGCGCTGCTGGAGGTGCTGCTGGTACTGGTGCTGCTGGAGCTGCTGGAGGTGCTGCTGCTGCTGGTGGTGCTGCTGGCACTGCTGGAGGTGCTGCTGGTACTGGAGCTGCTGGGGACCCTGCTGCTGCTGGCGGTGCTGCTGGAGCTGCTGGGACTGGCCCTGCTGAGGGGGTTGGAGCTGGAGGTGCTGAGCGGCCACGGCCGTACTACGTTCCGCTCCTTCAGCAGGTTCTTGGCCTTCCGCCCTCTCCTGGTCCTACTCCTCCCCTACTGAGTCCACCGCTTGTCCAGTCGCAGTCCCAGTTACAGCCAGTCTCTCCACTTCCTGGTCCTTCTCTCTACACTGCGCCGACGGGAGGTCTTACGGAGCGTCGTGAGCCTGAGTCTCGTCCTCCGTCGCCTGAGACTCGTCCAGAGTCGTCTGAGTCGCGTCCAGAGTCGCCTGTCCGCGCTATCCGCGCTGGTCATCGTGTTCCACGTCAGCGTCCTCCTCCTGTCCTTGGCACTCACTATATGACCCTGCGTCCCTCTACTGCTCCACAGCGTGTCCCACTGCCGTCTCCACCAGCGTCCTCTCTTCCTGCTCTTGCTGACCCGGAGTCTGACTCTCTTCGTGCTGCCAGTCCTACTGTCACGCGTCTCCTTGCCACTGCTGTCACTGACCCTTCCTTTGAGTCCTCTGCTGCGTCTGCTCTAGTCGCTGAGCTTGTTGACTTTGCTGCTGCCTGTCGTCTAGACTACGCCGCTAGCCTTGTTGCTGAGTCTGAGTCTGAGTCTGTCTGTCCTCCGTCTGTCGGGGGTGAGTGTGCTCTTGGCACGGACGTCCTTGAGGACAGATAGGAGGAGTTTGAGTGCTTTGCCGCTGCTTTGCCTCATCTCGTGTCCATGCTAGTTGCCCCTGAGGGAGACCCGGATGCACCAGACATCCCGACCCCACGCTCCTACGCAGAGGCGATGGAGGGTCCCTACTCCTCTCAGTGGCAGACAGCCATGGACGCAGAGATGGCTTCCTGGAAGTCCACAGGCACCTACGTCGACGAGGTTCCCCCACCTGAGGCGAACATCGTCAGTGGCATGTGGATTTTCAGGGTGAAGCGGCCGCCGGGTTCTCCGCCTGTCTTCAAGGCGCGTTACGTTGCACGAGGCTTCAGTCAGCGAGAGGGAGTTGACTTCTTCCAGACCTTCTCCCCGACCCCGAAGATGACCACTCTTCGGGTTCTGCTGCACGTCGCTGCTCAGCGTGACTACGAGCTCCACTCTCTTGACTTCAGCACTGCGTTCTTACAGGGCAGCCTGCACGAGGAGATCTGGCTGCGCCGCCCACCTGGCTTCACTGGGACTTTCCCTCCTGGTACCCAGTGGAGCCTCCGGCGGCCAGTCTACGGTCTCCGCCAGGCACCCCGTGAGTGGCACGACACACTGAGGACTACTCTTGCTGCTCTTGGGTTTGCTCCTTCTACTGCTGACCCGTCGCTGTTTCTACGCACCGACACCACTCTGCCGCCGTTCTACGTTCTTGTTTACGTAGACGACTTGGTCTTTGCTACTGCTGACACTGAGGCACTCGCCCACGTGAAGTCGGAGCTGCAGAAGAGACACACGTGCACAGACCTGGGTGAGCTGACAAGCTATCTTGGCTTGCGGATCACCCGGGACAGAGCACAGCGCACCATCACCTTGACTCAGTCACACATGGTGCAGCAGGTCCTTCAGCGCTTCCGCTTCACGTACTCCTCGCCTCAGCCCACTCCTCTGCCTACCGGTCACTCGCTCTCAGCTCTGCCTTCGGATGAGTCCGTAGAGCCGAATGGCCCATATCCAGAGCTTGTGGGCTGCCTCATGTACCTGATGACCTGCACTCGACCTGACCTGGCATACCCTCTTAGCATCCTAGCACGCTATGTCGCTCCCGGCCGTCACCGGAAGGAGCACATGGATGCCGCTAAGAGGGTGTTGCGCTACTTGTGCAGTACGTCGGGCATGGGGCTCGTGCTTGGAGGTCGGAGCGACGTTGTCTTCACGGGTCACTCAGACGCTTCTTGGGCTGACGACCAGGCTACGCAGCGGTCGTCTCAGGGTTACACCTTCAGCCTTGGCTCTGGTTCAGTTTCTTGGCGTTCTACTCGCTCTTCTTCTGTTCTCAGCTCCAGTTGTGAGGCTGAGATCTACGCCACAGCCATGGCTGCACAGGAGTTACGCTGGCTCACCTACCTGCTGACCGACCTGGGAGAGCGGCCTCGTTCTCCTCCAGTGCTGTACGTTGACAACAAGGCTGCCATTGCCTTGTGTGAGGAGCACAGACTAGAGCACAGGACGAAGCACATCGCTCTGCGCTACTTCCTTGCTCGAGAGCTGCAGCAGCGTGGTCAGCTTCGTCTGCGTTACGTGGCCACTCGGGCCAACACTGCTGATGTGTTCACCAAGGCGCTTCAGCCTTGTGACCATCAGCGTTTCTGTACTGTTCTAGGCCTTGTGCCTACTCTCCCTCACTTGCTCACTTCTTGACTCTGCTTGTACTGTGATCTCTATATATATATACCTGCATGTTTACTCTTGTTAGGTTGTGATCACTGTACCTCTTGTTATATTATCAAACTGCATGTGAACTGGTCTTGTGACCACTTGCTTGTGCTCGGAATTTGTGTGGTTTCCTTGAGATCCACCCTGAGCTTGCTTTGCTTTGCTTTGACTGGTCTTGTGACCATCTGGTTGTCTCCCACTTAGCCTATGGGGGTGTGTCAAACATTATACATGTTCATATTGTGTAGGCTATAGTGGGTTTAGCCTTAGGGGGTACAACATTGCTAGGGTTTCCTACTTGTATCACCCTGCTGCCTAGTTTCACACATTCTCGTCCAGTTCTACATTCTAACACCCGCGACACAGCAGGCTCTGAGAGAGACGGAAAAGACTGGGTGAAGCTCTGCAAGATTCTTACGCTAATCGTCGGCGCCTCGCACCCATATCTCCACATCGTCATCACCCGGTGTGACGGTGTTGACGTCGCCAACATCGTCGCGCTGCTGGGCGGCTCCGGGAGATGGCGCGGACTCCCCGCGTGGCGGAGGAGGGCTGAAATCTGTCGTCGCACGGTGCACATCCGGTGGGGCCGATTCAGTCATGCGCTCGCGTGCAAGGCGCATGTCCTGCGCCATCCATTCACGGACGAGACCCTCTATACGCGTCATCGCGTCACCGTGACAATCTTTGATGGTCGCGGAGACAAGCATGGCGGCTTGCATAGTAGCCGTCTCATGAACCCGCGCGTGCTTGGGTGTTCCCGTGGGATGAGGCGGCGGTGCTGTAACAGAAACGCATAAGAAACTGCAGGGTAGATTAGCACGTATAAGGTTGCATGTTGTTTATGCAGATAGTTGCAAGTCAAATACGCGTTGCCCTTGTTGAACATCCATGAAACGAGAGCTGAAAGCGCATGCGGTTTAAGAATCACAACTCACCTGTAAAGGTCGGTGTCGAAGTCTCTGGCTGAGAGGCACTTGGGACCTCCATGCCGGCCGGCACGTTGACGTTAGTGGCGCCGCCGCCATCCACTGCATGCGGTGCGGCAGCGGCGGTGTCCTTGTTGAACTGCTCCAGATACGGCCACCATGGCGGTTTCTCCACAGAACCGTTGCCCGAACCACCATCACCACGCTTGTACTCCCGCCAAAGCAGCATCAGGTTGCGCCACTGCTTTTGCAACGCGTTGACATTTCGGCACCAACCCGGGTTCGACTCCTTGATGTGCGCGAGAAGGCGGACCCGGTATTGCGTCCCATGCTTCCCCTTGAGCGGCTCGAGCTCGTCTTTCATGAACCAACGCGCGGCGGCGAAGATAGTGCTTTCCTTATCCGACCATAAGCCCCTTTCGACTGGTGCAGCAGACCGCTTCTTCCGGGGCTCCTGTCATGGCGATGGATCAACCGCCTTGCCTTTGCCTTTGTCCGTCCCTGAGGCGCGAGCGGCGCCCCGTTTCGGCGGCTGTGCAACAGGTTGCGCTTCCTCCTCCGCGTCGTCGTCGGCGTCGTCATCGCCGCCGTCATCCTCGCCGTCATCGTCGTCCGACATCCCAAGGTCCTCAGGCTCGTCCTCCTCGTCGCCGCGGTACTCCTCATCATCGTCGTCGACATCTTGCTCCACGACGGGCCGCACAGTTGCCGCCGTCCTTACAGGCTGACGACGCACACGTGAGGGGCCCGCGCTGGGCGACTGTGCACTAGAACCCTGCCCGTCAAGCGCGGGCGGCGTGGACAAGCCAGTCGGATGACGGCCGCTGGCGATCTGCTGGTTCATCCAGCGGATGTAAGGGATGTCGTTAAGATCCTTGGGGCAGTCGTTAAGGGACTGGCCCTTACGCTTACGAGCCATGCTGGCGGCGCGGATGTACGAAGATCTAGATCTGAAGGGATAGAATGCAAAGCGAAGAAGATTGAATGGGACAGGATAGGCGGTGCATCTACAAAAGCCCGTGGTGTGTTTGGAGGAGCATGAATTGTGGGGAAAGAGCATTTGACTTGGGGGGGAAGTGCGCTGGCGGGAATTGCGGGGCCCTGTCAATAATTCCGGAAAAGTCCCGTCAACCAATCAGGCTCCAGTGTACGCGTTGATGGGGATCGCCGGGTCTTTGGGATGTTGTCCAGATACATGCAGCACGAATTGACATTTGGCACCGCGTGCGATAGATGAAAAGTGTTGCGCTGGCGTGCAATTAGCTGGCGACTGTTCCGTATTTCACGTCACCCAATGATAAATACGTTTGGCGACACGTGCGGCGCGGCTTTCTGACACCTGGTTGCATATGCTGTACGTGCGCGTCACAATCGATTCGGACACTTTCTTTGAGAAAATGTCCACAGCGGAATGTACCCTTACATTTCATTACACTTTCAAAAATTATCATTATTGTGTAATGTTTCTCAATTTAATCAATCATTGTCATTTACATTCACTATGCAACAAGGTCCTACTACCACTTAAAGACTTCCGCTACCAACTCAGGCAGACCTACCATATCCAAATGTCCTTATTCTAATAGCGTGCACGGGGAACCCCCATTACTTGTGTCATTTCAGGCGGGAGTTTCATCTAGTTACCATTCACGTGACCATTTGCCCGTGTCAAGTTACCAAATGCATGAAGCGAGCTTTCAAACGCATGGAAACTCAATGTTACGGCTACCGTACGCGTTTTTTAGCCCCATAATAGTTACTATTAGCATCCTTACCCACATGGATTTTACTAAGTAATATTGACTAGTTCTTGCTTTTCTCATTCCCAGCTTTAGATACCCATGTCCGTGTTTGAGCAACGTTTCGTTGCGTCCAGGTGAATCTGTAAACGAGTCACCGATCCTGGTTTCGTCGCATACCACGCGCTCACCCACTTCTCAGGAGCCAGCGAATGAGATCAAGTTCAGGTGCGATCGCGTATGCGACGAGTGGGATGGGTCGAGCGACGACAAATCAGTCGAGTCTGACGCAACGAGTGGATCTGAAATATCGCTCATGCTCCATGCGAACTAGATACGCTCGAAACCGTCGCACAAGTTCCACGTGATATTCCAGGTGCCTACTAACTCCATTATTCAGAGCTAGGGGAGGGAGGAGCTGCGAACGTGGCTGATGAGTTCATCACGACACCAGATTAGGCCTTCCATCAGCTAGCAACTAAAAAGCGCACGTTTCGGCCAATCAGGTGCTCACAACGCACTCGTCCAGGACCCACATGGGTAGGTCGCGTTGAACGGTGTGGCATTATCACGGCACCACCCCACATGTGTGGCTGATGCGAGGCGTTTTCAAACATCTGCACCTGCCGCTGTTGGTAGTGAATGGGAGAAGATATCCAGGCGATAGAACAATAAGCTCAGCTCTCAATGTCGAGTCGCAATGTCGACATCGAGATGTCTGCTGAGTAATCAGCAGAATTGCTATCAGCCGCACATTACGGCTCGGAGGGTTATCGTTCCGCACCTGGCTCTGTTTCTTAGAACCATGGGAAAGAACGGAAGCGCGATTCTGCGTCGCGAGCAGCCGCCTTCCTCTGTTCGACGGCTGCTTCGGTAGAAACGAAACCGTCAAAATGGTGACGCGCCCTTATATTCGACCGTGAAGAACTTGAAATCCTCAGTGTCGAACCGACAGGCAGCAATCGATGAATTTTATGATAAGGTGCTAATTGACACGTCTCCTCATCGGTTCAACTTGAACTCACCCTAACTCGTCCAGACGTCTGAGCCATCACGGCTCATCTTGTTCCGATTAGTGCCTCTAAGGGTCTTGTCATCACTTCGCGTCCCGCCGCAGTCGTCTGACCCGAAGACGTCAAGCGGTCGTACTGCAAAGGACTTGGAGACGCCAGAACCAGAACGAAGGCTTGGCAGCTGCTAAGCAAGGCACTCTCTTTCCTCGCGCCGGCGACGATGATGATTCTGACAACGATGGCGGCGGCAGAGCGGCAAGCGCGGGCTGCGAAGCGTCCGTGCCGCCTCGCGCTGCTGCTGCTCGTCGTGTCAGCCGCGGCCGCGTCGATCCCCTCCGTGGAGTCCATCCGGCCGAATGAATTGTTTCGCGCGATTTCCGCCTTGAAGATGCACCGCAAGTTCAGACCATACTCGTTCCACATGCGGTTTCTGCGAGGTTCGCGAACGTCGCCAATGGCTGGAGGTGGAGGTGGAGGAGGAGGTGGAGGTGACGAGGGCGGGGGAGATGGCGGAAAGGGAAAGGAAGTTCCTGCTTACGTGAAATTCACTGAAAAGCTGTGTAAGTGTTCAACCTTTGTATCGATATTGGGATCGCTGCACAAATGTTACTCCATTGCATGTGAGATTTAATTGATCATGCCACTCTCTCTAGCGAGCCCTTTCGCTTATCTCGCGCTCACTCTCCCTCTTCTCTCGCCTCTCGAGTTTCCTCTTTCGCACTCACTCGCTCTCGCTCACTTACCCTCCCAGTCACTCGCCCTCTCGTTCGCTCGCCCTCTCGTTCGCTCGCCCTCTCACTCGCTCGCCCTCTCATGCGCTCGCCCTCTTACTCCCTCGACCTCTCACTCGCTCGCTCCTCTCTCATTCGCTCGCGCCCCTCTCACTCGCTCGCGCCCCTCTCACTCGCTCGCGCGCCTCTCCCTCGCTCGCAACCCTCTCACTCACTCTCGCCCTCTCCCGGCCCTCTCTCTCCCTCCCGCCCCCCTTGCTCTCTTGTCCCCCCTTGCTCTCGTCACCACTCTCTCACCCTCGCTCCCCCTCTCTCTCACTCTCGTCGCCCCTCGCTCACTCTCGTCGCCCCTCGCTCACTCTCGTCGCCCCTCGCTCACTCTCGTCGCCCCTCGCTCACTCTCGCCCCCTCACGCTCACTCTAGCCCTATTTCACCTGCTCGCCTGCATTCTCCATTTATCCCTTTCTCCCACTTTCTCGCTCCCTCCTGCCCTGTTGATTAGGCATGAGCAAAGTACCGAACCGAACCGGTTCGGCCACTATAGCGCTTTCACCGAACCGGTTCGTTCTCGAATCGAACCGGTTCATTCCGAGCCGTTCTGGTCTCATGCCGGTTCGAGGTTCGGTATTATAGCAGGAATACCGAACCGAACCGAATCGGCCATTTTAGCCCCTCTTAACCTTTCGTAACCCCTCCCCGCCCCTCTGTGCCCCTAGTTGTAAGCTAAAAACCGAACCGGTCGAACCGCCGAACCGGTTCGATGACAAACCGTCTCGGCCCGTGGCGAACCTCTTGAACAAAACAAGGCTGAGGTTCGGTTCGTAGCGAACCGAACCGCGACGAACCGAACTGCGGCTCGGCTCTTTGCTCATGCCTACTGTTGATGCATTGTGCACGCTCTCTCCTGCCTATTCCTTCATGTGTGCCTTCCTTTCTCCTCTCTTCTCAACTGTCCGTTTCCATGATTCTGCAGTGCTCACAGCAGCAAACGAGGAAGGCCCCATAACGATCTTAATCCCTCTAGACGTCACCGAGTACTACACTTCAATCAAGGACTACAGTGCAGAAGAGCGTGAGAAGATAATGAAGTACCATATGATACCGAAACAGTACAAGTACAAGAAGCTAAAGAAGGAGAAGGCAGGATACAAGATAAAGACGAAGGTGGATGGTCAGAAGATATCGAAAATGACAGGGGATACTTTCCCTGGCATTGTCCTGATGGGGAAAAAGGGCATGCCATCTATCATGGTGGGAGGAGATGTGTTTGTGGGAGAGGAGCTAGCCATTCACCTTGTAACATCTATGTTGTTTCCAAAATTTAAGTAGATTTGTGCACATATGTTTTCTTGTAAGTGATCCGTTGACTGTGTTTTACCTCAGCATTACTGATCATCATTACCATTTCCTACTGTATCTGATAGGAGCTATGGTCAACCAGGGTTTTCTGATTGGAGACTGCAATTGACAGGTTGAAGCCATTATTATAACATCATTTAGCAAAACAAGATTGTCTCACACTGCTGCTAGAAGAGAAGCAAAAGTCATCTCCCTAATCCCTTCCCTTCCAGCAACTGGAAGGGTAACTCTAATCAACAGGCACAGACTGATAACCCTCCCAGTTCCCACCCAGCTTGAGGGTACATTCCTGGCGAGAGGCATCACAAAAGCAATGTACGGTACCATTTTGCAAAGCATTGCACCTAGCAATGAAATCTTTGCACCATAACGTATCTCGTCTTCTGTGACGCGATCATTTGTGAAGTGCGCCAGGAATGTACCCCCAAGACTTCGTGAGCCATTTGCCCTTCACGCAACGGGCGTGCACGAGCACTGGCAGTTCATGGGAGTGCTGCCACTGGCACACGTGCACTGGCAGTTCATCTTCGTAGTTCCCGGGGTTGGTGGCGGTGGTGACGGTGACGGGGGAGGAGGAGAAGGTGTGGTGGTGCTGGCGGGAAGGGAATTCTGGTTGACACATTTCTGCAGCTGTCTGTCCCAGTTCTGCTGCACCAGGAATTTCATTCCGTTTAGCCCGACCATGTTGTAAGTGTAACCATTTGAGCTGAGTGTAGTTCCGTAACTCCAGGAGCACAGATCCGCGTTCTCCTCCCCATTCGAGTCGAACCAGCCAGACTGCACATCCGGGTCCGTAGCAGCTTCGGAAATCTCGTGCGCGAGAGTTGAAATGGTGGCGTCAATAGCGGGGTTGCCATTGGGGGAGGTGCTCTTTACGCCGCACGAGTTGGGGCACTGGCCGTGGTGACCCACGAACGCATAGTAGAATGGGGATGAACTGATATAGCCGGCCGTGTGCCACCCGCAGTATTGGCTGCAGAAACCCGACGATAGAGTCACGTCCTTGCTCGTTAGGAGCACGTAGATTCCGTGCGGGTCGTACGCAAAGGCCTTGCCAGATCCAATTTTGCTCTTGACGACTGCGATGGACACAGCAGAAAATGGGAGAGAGAAAATAGTTAAGCCAAAGCTTACTACGGCAGCAAACTCTCATGGAATGACGAAAACGCACACTAGAGACAAGAAAACTGGGAAAGCGCAGCGTAGGTAGCATTTGCGCTACACTGGCGGAATGCCGCTTCGCTGACTTTTTGGAGGAAAACCAGGTCGTGGCAGGCATCAGACAACGAAATCTTTCGGCTCAGCAAGTACAGGAAGGGCGTATTGGAAAGCACGACTTTTGAGGCGGCTTGAAAGCAAGGTCGGGGAGAAAGGGCTTACTGGAGAGCACATAGCTGTCGGAAAGCGCCTTGCCGTACGAGTAGTTATCGTACGTCGTCCCCGCGAGCCGCACCTTGGAGCTCACGTTCTTCTTCCCAGAGCTGGTCGACTGATAGTAATTCGACGATATCGCCCACCACCCCTTCACCGTCTGGTCACTCGACGAGCCCTGCGCGCCCGAGTCGCTACTTAAAGACCTAACGAAGTTGTCAATGTAGTCCTGTCCGGACCCCGACGGCCAGCTGCCATAGTAGATGTGGTAGATGTTCACCGTGGGGTTCCCTGCGACGATGGGGCCTCCCCAGTACTTAATCGGCCCGCCGGTTGCGGCGGGGGTTACGGCGCCGCGGAGCTCGCTGAGAAGTCCTTGCGAGTTCGAGCTCAAAGCCGCGGCTCGCGCTCGAAGGCGCTGCGCGTGGGCTTGAACGGTCAGAGAGATTCGTTTTGGCAGACGGGGTGCAGCTGACGAGAGGACGAAGTTAGAGACGAGAAGCAGGAAGAGAAACGGGAGCAGACGAGTCGCGGCCATCGTGGCTATGTGGAAAGCGTGGGAGGCGGCGGAGAAGCGTAACTGGGCAATGGGAAGGGACGTGGAACGGGCGGGACGGATTCAAAGGATGGCGTATGTGCCTATCGAAATCCGATTGGGTCGTTGGTGGAGTGTCGTTGCGTTACGGGCAGTGTGGGCGACCCCAGAAAGGGTGGGATGGAACGATGAGTGTCGAGTGAGTAGAGACACGATAGCGGGGGAATGTGTTCGGTTGACTGCGGATCGGATTAATGGCGAATTCGAGGCGGGAATTTCGGCGATGCTTTTGAAGGATGGCGGCCTCGTCGAACCAGCTTGGAAAATTAATGTACTGGATGCTGTGAGCCAGTGACTATACGAACTCAAGTCTGGAATTTGAGTTGCAATGGCTAAAGAGAAGACACGATCCTTGTTTGAAGGGATGTCCTAAACTTATACATAAGCTGGCGAAGGGCTGCTCAATGCTTGTGTATGGCGGTGCTGGGCTGGACTCGTGAGGAGGACTCGGCAGGATCGAGGGCAACAGCAGCGGAAGATTGGCGGGTGTGGCGTGGTTTGGTGTGCTTCCTCCCATCCGCTTGTCATCAAATTGCGGCGTTTCCAACTTTCCACGTTATTTTCCTGCCGAGTTTGGATGGTGTAGGGTGGAGTTGGTGGTGGTCGTGGAGACGTCGCCACGTCAGCCGTGGGTATTTTGTGGGCGCTCTGACATGTTCATGAAGCGGTAACTGGGAGTACAGTAGGGTCCTCCCCCCACCTCCCCCCCCCCACCAAGACATTCACTGTACACACACACCCAGTTGTCTGGCAGGGAAAGAGGAAGCTGGGAGTGTGGGAGGGGGTGGAGGGTTTGGTGCTTGCAGGTGTATCCTGCCGTGGCGTGGTTGTTGTGCGTCGGTGTGCGTCTGGAAATTTATGCGCGTCTTGAAACCTACCCGCACAATGGGCAAGAGAAGTTGTTCTGTACTGTATGCACCACGAGATCTGTGCTTCCTTTGCTGCTGCAAACATTGGCAACTTTTCAACGTTTTTCCACAGAGCGCACCGAAGCCGCAATGCGTGACGTGTCATCATGCTCAACCAACCCCAAGTCACTTCTGTCTGGCAAGGCAGATCGGCTAGCTGGCGGAAATAACCCTACGCGGGCGAAGCGCGGGGGTCTGACCTGTTGGAGCTGGCGTGGCGACAAAGCAGGCGGCGGACAAGATACGATGCAGAAAACCGTAGAACGAAATACACCTTTCTTCTCGCTACATTTTCTCGCCAGATATTATACATCAGTATATACAATGCTATTGCTAAATTGATGGCTAATCACATGTAAAAGAATGACGGCAGGCTTCGATAAATGCTTGACCCAAAATGCTAAGTATCACACGGGCCTGCACCCTCTGTAAAGCTATCCCTACCGCGGCTGTCAAGTAACCAACAAAGTATATCGAGAAACCTGAATCGTACGGAACTGGCAGGCTGGCCTTGTCTTATTCCAAACCAATTGCCTAATTGAACCATATTGTACAGCGACTGTGTAACAGATGGAGTGAACCTGGTGAGCAGATGAAAATGAATGCGTTGCGTGCTGCAATGGCTTGAAGAGCTGTGCTGATGCAAGTGCAACAAGGCATCAGGGACTTGGTACAGCGGATGAACGCGAGGATCGCATTGAAAGTAGGCGCATGGGGCAAGAATCTGGAACAAGTGCAACAAGACATCAGGGCACTGGGAGAAGCAGAAATTGTGCCATCAGGGCAGGAGAGAGGACCTGATGTGTCTGTTACCGGACAGCAGTGCACCCACGCACTCATGCCTGTTCGTGTGCACCCACACATCCCTCCATGCCACACATCCCTCCATGCCTCAGGTTGGGCTGGGAAGAAAGGATGGTAGAGGGGTAGAGTGGGGGGGGGGCGGGTTGAAGGCAGGGGGTAGGGGCAATGGGTTGAGAAGAAGGACCGCAGAGGGGATGCTTGAGTGGGAACGGGGAGATGGATGGAAGGGAGAGGCGACTACTGAGAGAAGACGGGAACAGCAGGAAAGAATGGGGAAGGAGAGAGTAAAAGGTGGGAAAACAGAAAAACAAAAGAGGCTATGCCCCACATGCCATACATGCCATACATGCCATACATGCCCCACATGCCATACATGCCATACATGCCCCACATGCCGTACATGCCATACATGCCCCACATGCCGTACATGCCATACATGCCCCACATGCCGTACATGCCATACGT